CTTGTTACTAGAAGCGATGCACTTGTTCCTAGTAGCTTCTTGTTACTTGTCTTTTGTTTTTGGGGTCGATTCTCCAAGATTCCAACAGCGAACGAGTTCCGCGCCCCCCCGAGCCCCACGTTCCGAGTCCCACGGAGTCCGCCCGAGTCCGTGCAAGAGTCTCGCCAGTGCAAAGGCAGCGGAAGTTCTCCACCGTCTTGGGGCAAACTTTTGCAAACCTGACGGCTTCTTGTTGCGTTCGTAGTAAGAATGCTCCTATAGTAGCGATGCCAGGAGCCCCTAGTAGCGTCCTTGCTCCTAGTAGATCCTAGTAGTATGGCCAGGAGCACCTAGTAGCTTCTTGTTACTAGTAGCGATGGCCTCCATCTAGAAGCGATGGTTTGCACCTAGTAGCTTCTTGCTACTGTGGTGATGGGGCAAAAAACACCAGGATTCTGGTCACCCACCCACCCAATGTTGATCTCTTAGGCGGTCCAAATGTGCCTGGTGCTACACACCAATACCTGATCTTATGCTGTATTGCCACTAACTTCGTTTAATGCGTGACTGTATGGCACCAGGCCAGTATCTGGATCTTCCCTGTTTGATGTCAGCCCGTTTCAGTTCTCTTTTGGCAGGGCCCTGCAAACATCTCCTGTACAGGATGCAGGCTGAATTGGGGACAATCGAAAATTCCACGGCAACGGCTCCAATCCAAGCAGCAACTCACACTCCACGCGTCCCACTCGTAGGTGATTCACAGAGATATCGAACCAAACACGAGGATTCTCTGGACCTGGGGGGGCAATCTGACGGAGCCCTGGGTCAAACCCAACGGATGGAGGAACCAGTAGCGATGCCAGGAGCTACTATATGTATATATATATAATATATAATAGCATCCTCATTCCTATGTGCGATGTACCCAGTCTTCATGATGGTTCCAGGAGCATCTGGAGCTGGGAAAGTGGTGGCTTCCTTCTTGCACTCCTCGAGATGTGCAGAGTGAGTACCATCCTCCAAGGTTTTCAGTCTGCGATCCTTACTGTTTGGAGGGAAACAAAAGAGCGAGATAGGCTAGGTCTCAACTTCACCTGACTTTGCATCCTGAATCCTGCCTTGTGATGAAAGGCTCATCCATGTTAATCCATCGCCCTTCTGATTTCAGGCAAAGTAGCTCGACAGATTCTCCGGCAAGAACTTAGGCCTTTTCACCTGCCATCTTGATCTCAAACACTCCCTCACTCTAACTCACTCGTGCATGCACTCATACAGCATGGCCCAGCTTAATATCTTCCCGTTGGATTCAATGTGATTGTTTCCGCCGCACCATGAAACTTAATGTTGCGAAAGCAGGGATTTGCATATCAAGAAACAAAGAAACCATTGATTATGTACACTGCACCGGATATCTCAAGCTATCCAACAAGAACGCATCTCAGCATCATTTAGAATATACATTTAGCATCATTTAGCAGACATTATGCTGTATACACAATTGATATTGACGGCCTGCATGGTGGGCCATGCCGCTACTTACAATTGGCCCGCACACCTTCTCATCGTCCAGGTGCTCCAGGTAAAGCACGTACCCTGCAGCAGCGCCTGTGCCTGCACAGCTCTCTGACTCTGCTGTGAGGCCAAAACGGAGCGAGGGCGGGTTACAGGCCAAGAGAGAAGTGACTCGACGAGGCAGTCTGGCTTTTTGGATCGGCCAAGGAGACCGCAGCGAGTCCTGTTGAAACCGCGGTGTCGTGAAGCTGGCTAGTGAGACGAAGATCAACAATTAGCAGTTTGGAGTTTGGAACGGCTGCAATCCGATAACCCACTTCATGTCGAAAAGAAAACAGGATGATGCAAAACTATCTCAACCAGCTTCTGCGGTGATGTGTTGGCAAACAATTGAATGGCTTTAAAATCTGGCGCATAAGCACATGGGGCCTTATGTGAAACTCTAGGCAATCGAGACAGCGGAGCCCAACATTTATCATGTACAAGAACCACCAATAAACACCAAGACCTCAACAGCCGCAGCTCTAGTGGCCTAGAATGGGGTCTACTCGCGGCTTGTCCGCCATCCCTATCATGCACTTTCCCGCTGAATCTGCACCCAGTGTGCAACAGCGTCAAGGAGAATGCTGCTTTTTGTAGTTCGGAAATCCTTTCTTAGTTTCTCTCCAATTACTTCTACACGCTCAGTGCGGAAGTTGGTGGCCTGCAAGAAGCGCGACGCTTGGATCTGATAGCGCGGAAGAAACGGCTGATGTGAGACAACTAAGAGTCTGCCTGGGACTGGTGATGCTTGGAGCCACGTCTTGAGAGTCTCCATGAAGCCCGCTCGTGGGTTCTCGGTTCGCACTACGGAAGCTGCCAACCATTTGGTTGCCATGCACGAGTTGGAGCGGCTTGCAAGGTGCTCTTGCAATCTTTTCGCCAGGTCAGCTTCCGTTGCACAACCATGGACCTCTAACTGCAAAGTGCTGCAGTCTGCTTCGGGATCAGAAGCCAACATGGCCACATGTTCAGGCAGAACGCCGCTCTTGAAGCACCTCTCTAAAAACAAGCACCTTCTCTCCATGTTTGGTAGGGTTGCTCCAGCAATGAGTGCGTAAGTCCAAATCCCTGCCGGGACTTTCTCCTGAGTGAAGCCCATGGCTTGACAAAGCTGCATGAAACTTCCCGCAAGTTTTGGCCCTCGCGGAAGCTTGGACCGGATTCCGGATCTGTGTCTCCATTCACTGATGGTTGCCTCTTCAAGCTCTGAGCGTGACATTCTTGCAACATCCTGACAGGACGCCGATGGATGTTGCTGACAATAGATTTCCAAGCACCTTCTCAGCAAATCTTCTTCTGCCTTGGACATGACCCCAAGTAGATCACAAGTGTCGACGTTTTCATCCACCTTTTGAAGGGCTCGGCGGGTATGCTTGCGCATACCAGCCCCCACAACCCGACCACTCTCTAGCAAGGTGGCCGCAACTCGACCGCTGTGGACGCCAGTGGCAGCAAGTCGGAAGTCTTCATCCTCCTCCACCCAATCATTCTCGCCTTTGATTGACTCAGGTGGAGCTAAGTGTTCTTCTGTCGCAGTGTCATCTGTGACAGTCCCTCGGAAAAAAGATGGCTGAGATGTACGAGTCCTACTCCGAGTTTGCCCTGTGACAGAAGAAGCTGACTCCGCTTCACCCGGAGGGTTCATCGGTGGGTGTAGCACAATGCAGGCAGGATGCAGACCTGAAAGTTGACAACACGAAAGAGAAGCATCCACAACAACCGACACATCACCGCAAACTGATTGGAAAGTATTCTGAATGGTGGCCCAGCTACCTGAGACAAGTCTGGGTGTCAAGGTTGGTTGTAGCAACTCCTCCACTTGCCGGGTAGCCCAGATGAAGCGGCAAGCAGCTTCCACATGAAGGCTTCGGGTATCCCTGACCACTTCTTGCTGTGCCCTGTCAAGGATGCCGGCCAAGACCTGAGAAACATCTCCATGAAGCCCACGTGGAGACCGAGTGACTTCCAGGTGTTCTCGAGTGACTTCCAGGAGTCGCAGAATATCTTTGGCTTTCTCCCGGACCTTGGTCATGATTTCCCACAGTTCTCTGGCATCCTCCCCATCCTCCAGTTCTTCGGGAAGTCCATTGAGCACTTCCCGAACCCCTCCGCCGATATCGACGAAAGCGGTCTGGATTCTTTGATATCTTTCCAGCACCAGCTTGTCACACATTTGCTTGAGCGACCTGGCAAAACATGGCTTGCACATGCTTGCACATATTTACGTACCAGCAAGCGACAGCCGTTCAACAAAAACACGGTGGAACACTGGGCATTCGCTTGTCTGCTTATCACTTGGTTGATCAAAGCACAGCATGGTTTTTCCACCCACAATCTGGGCAAAAGCTCGGAGCACCTGCAAACCCTGCTGAGCTGACTTAGCTGCTGAAGCGGCAGCTTGTCAACCATGTGGGCAGGCCAAAGGACTTCCGTCGGAAGATCAGCCGAAGAAGCCATGGCAGAATGATATGACAGAATTGCTGATTCAAGCATGTTAGGGCCTAGAGCATTCAAGCCCTCATCACTACACGTGGCAAAATAGTAAAGATCTTCAAACAGGAAGAAGGTTCGTAGATTTAGCTTGCAACAAACATCTCTGATGAAGCCACTGGTGTCAAAGAGCGTGTTCTCAAGCTGTTGCTGGCAAGGCATGACAAGAAAGCATGACGAGATGCCTCAACGTTTGGATTGTGCCAAGGTCTTGTGGGTTTGTGGCAAGGTCTTGACGGTACTGAGGGTGTCACCGGTGTCGCCGCAAAATTGGCTCAAGTATCAGACGCATCAGACGCATCAGAGTCGCTATACCTTGGTCTTCTAAATCTTTGACTCTTAGATCATAGATCCTGAGTTGCTCTTGATTCTGGAAGCGCCGTTTGGAATCTCTCAGGCGGAAGAAGCTATGCTTCCAATGGAATGTCACATGGTGCATGCGGGCAGCGGTGGTCTATCTGCCCCTCCCCCTCGCTGGTGCATCTGCCTGCGAAGATGGCCAGGGGTAATGCCAGCGACTGCACGCCACCAGCAGTTCTACTGGCCTCGAGGGACATTTGCATTGGTTGGGTGCTGTGTTGTGATTAGGTGCTGTGTTCTTCAAGTTTGGTGATTGGTTGAGTGCAGTGTTCTTGAAATACAGGATTGCCCTGGCTTCCCTTTAGAATGGCAAACCCGACAGGGATAAACCTGGGTTCGAAACCAACGCCCTGATTCATTTGATTCTTTTATTTTTTTGCAGTTCACATGACACACATAATATATCATAATATGGTAGTATTTCGCACTATGCAAATCCATAAATTTCAGGCTTGTTGGCTCTCGTTCTCTGGCCTATTACCTCAACTGCACAAAGGACGAACTCCGTCTAACAGTCTAACATTCACCAAGGCGTGCTCGATGGCAGTATCTCCCCCTGTTAGAACACTTGTTTGTTGATCTTGTTGTTCGGCATGACTTAAAACCTCCTAGACTGTAGCTCCATGACAAATCACCACACAAGTCATAGAGTCCATACATGACGACCGCAGGAGAGCGGTCGACTTGCAGGCAACACGTTTTTCATGAAAAATCTAGGAACACAATGATTAGTGCGAGCGTGAGCTATCCTGCATCCTAGGCAGGAGCGTCCAGTAGCTAGGAGCTTAAGTATAAGTAGGGGGGCAAAGCGGGAACAAAATAAGAAAAGGACCAACGAAAAAGAGACATAAAACAAAGAAAACACATAAAACAACCAATTTGATGCGAAGCATGTCAGAACGCCGTCACTGCCGGTGTGGCTTTTGTCGCACCCGTCCCCGTCTGCCACCTCGCTGGCCTTCCGCACGCTGAGACCTCGGTTTGCGGAGCGTGTTCGAGCCTGATCCATGCATAACTCTCTGGTCTGTGTGGACGGACTGCGTGAGACATCGACATGCTGCTGCGTGAGCCCTAAGTAGACCCCAGTGCTTTGGTTGATGCAAGAGCCTTCAATTTGGTCACTGAATGGATTGACAATTTGCCAAACTTGCGAACAATCTTGAGATTGCTTTGCCGAAGAGCCATGGCCAACAGGCCATCGACGACAAGCCCGCCATGCTCGAATCATCGAGCCATTGGCATCCACAGCGGTGGATGAGGACCACCTGGTCCTGGATCTTCTGCAAGATCTTTCCGGAATTCCTACCTGTTGAATCGTTTCTATTAGGTTGGAGGCCATCGCTCTTAGGTTGGAGGCCATGGCTATGTGTTAAGACAGGATTTTGCTTGTCCATTCAACGCCTTCCGGCTTTCACGCCTGGCCAAACTTGTTGAGGTTAAAGAAGTGAACTTACATGGTCTGTGCCTCCATGTGCTTTGGTGCTTGCGCTTCATGAAGGCTAAAGCTGATTCTCATGGAATTGACAGGGACTATCTGTGCACGATTCAAGGATTGCTGTGTGGTTTGGGCTGGCATTGCCAATGTACAGTAGCTCAATTTCTCAGCTGAAATGGAGCCGGAGCGGCCGAGCTCGCAAACAACAACCACCGGTGTAAGGGCAAGTCTTCAAGAGTCGAACAGGATAAACCGTGACGCACCGAGACATCGGGGACCATATCGTCGTGCGCACCACCGACGTGGTCGTGGGTGAGTCGTGGTCGTCAAGACCCTTCAAACCTAGCATAATAACATATAATAACTGCACAGAAAGTGTTTTCAGTTTCCAGTCATGGAAACACTCCAGCTGCACAGAATTCACCCTTGATCGTATGCATACAGGAGTTCATCCTGAGAACACTTCCTTACAGAAGTGGCATCGTCATGGTGTTGCAAACAAAATCCAATCGGAATCCAATCTGTCAATCTGAGCAACCATCTCAAAGATCCACAGGTGACGTCACAAACGGCGCCAGCATCACCAAGGGTGCCAGTTCGCTCCGTTGAAGCGATTTCACACTGGCCTTGCAGGTCAAGACGTGCATCGTCATCAAATGAAGACCCGTACGTTCATCGCCTTGAACCTCTAATCAGGCCCGATGCGAAGTTTTGGAAAAAGGCAGCGCTGTAATATGCTCATACAGTAGCAGGATCAACAGGCAAACTCCTCTTGAGCTTTAAATTTACTTTATTGTTATATAATTCTAATAGCTCTTTTGTTACTACTAGTAAGGCACTTGTTACTACTAGCGTGGCACCTGTTACTAGTAGAAACAATAAGTTCAATCAGGACAAACCATTTCTGAGAATTCGGAAGACAATCTTCTGCCTCTAATGGCTCTACGACCCCCCAGCTGAGCATCCATGCCTCTGCAGCAGCAATGCTGAAGGTTAAAAGCCCGAGCTGACGCGGAAAAACACATTGGAACGTGCATGAACGCGCAAAGCGTCACAAGTTGATACCAAATGAAGCAGCATCTAAGTGATTGGGGTAGCCCAAAGATCTTCATTTTCCTACTTGACGGTTGATTGTGCGGGATTGGTGTATTGCTGTGCGTATCACTGAAGCAGCTGCGGAACGCAGCTTTGGATTTCGAGAATCCCAGGAATTACAGGTTGCTGGCATAATCCTGGGCCTGTTTATGCCCCTGGAATTACCGGCTGGCCAACCCGAACTGTTCTGACTTCTGCCGCAGGGTCATAGCGTTTCGATGACTGATTTTCGATCGACCCAAATGCAATTCTTCTGGCGCGGTTCGCAGCCAGACCTGGCCTCTGTGAACTTCCAGGCATTGGCATCCCCTACAGGGAAAGCTCTTTTCATATATCTTGGAAGCTCTTGAGAGAAGGAGAAGGAAAGCCGGAGATACTGTATCATTGCCGGTTGTCGTTGAAACAGTAAACATATATGATAAAATCAAAACCTACCAGTAGTAGATCGTTGATTCATTTCAGCTCTTTTCTCCTGCAGCTTCACTTGCGCCTGCTGCGCGTCCATTTTCCCCCTTTTCAATCCTCGGAATAGATAGATAGATAGATAGATAGACGTAGATAAAGAACACAAAGAAGAGAAAGGCATTCAAACCTTGTGGCAATGGTCTTGACATGTCTTGACACATGGGCTACCAAAACTGCCCCCCAAAGCGGCAGTAGATAAACACATCTTTGTACAAATTCTTCTGCCTTTCGTGGCCTAAAAAGTAGAAGAATAAGTGATCATTTATCATCATTTACCTAAGAGCGATGGCCTCCAACATCCTCCAACCTACTACAGCGATGGCCTCCAACCTACTGGCCTTTACCTTGTGACCGTAAAAACCGCTGCAAATGGGACAAAGCCGACTGAGTGCTGCACAAGGTCTCCACGACATTGGCCAGCGATCTCGTCGCTTCCCGCCTCGGAACGCGGGAGCCGACGACGGTGCGGACGACCGGTGCGGGACCGGTCAACCGGTCAACCGGTGTTCATTGTGATGTGCAAGGTGCATGCAGTTTTTAAACTGGCCATTTGCGACGGCGTTGTTTGATTTTTAAACTAAGCCACCATGCAGAACTTTGACACCGGCCAATTGGCACATGCAGCCCATAATGCTTTAAACCGGTATCTTGCATAATCCCGCTTCAGCGCCTCACTTGAAACTCTCAAGCATCGAAGAGAGCAAACCCTCGCCGGATAAGCGCACCATGCAACCCCTGGAAGGATTGGACCAGCAATCTTCGCAAGTCCACAAGTGGCGTGCCATGCAATTGCAATCGAACTCCGCATCGGATGTCCACTCCGCTCTTGACAGGTGTTTGGAACAGAACAAAACATCGAGAAAAACAACCCTGTGAGATATACATCAGATATATCTACTGGTCTAGGTCTAAGTCTAAGTCATTTGAGCCACTGAGTGGTTACAGTCTGCCTGAAGTGATCATCCTCCTCCTGAAGGGTGATGAAGAGGCAAACAATCAGCAATGAACGACCCCAACAACATCAACAAACATCATATTGCATGTGGGGTCACAGTTCCCAGTCAAACGCTGAATTGCCTCATTTCTTTCTTCGCACCACTTCCATTTGTCAAGGACTGACATGCAGGTGTCGGCCTCACTTGAACTCCTTGGTCTTTGCACTCCTTCATTCCCTTATCGGAGCCAAAATCCCTACTTGAAAGTGTCTAGTCTAAAAAAAAACTTTGGCCAAAAAAATGAACCTTCAAAACAGGATGCGTTGTTGCTTCAAAACATTGAACTTTCAAGGAATGGCCAGTTTGTGTACTTTCCAGGTGTCCTGTTGCAGGTATTCATTTGGATCATTTCGCCACGCTTCTGCCTGTCACTGCGGGCAAATTCGGTAGAGACAGGAAGACCCGAAGGACTACAGACTCGAATTCACATGTATTCCGTATTCCCTCTTCAAACAAGGGTCGGCAGGCCTATAACGACGCGCCTGACCACATGCTGTCCCCCTTAAAATTACGATTTCGCAGTGCTTTCGTATTGGTTTTTACAGTGGATGTTAGCCCGCCTGCACATCCCGGTCCATGAGCTCTTTTTGAGTTGAACACCCACGCTACGTCGCGAGCGGGATCTGCAAACTCGGATGGTGGACACCCAACTTGCGAGTCTCGACTCAGCCGGTATTGCTTGAAAGCTTCAAGGACTGCAATCAAGACCTGGGTTCTTTAACAAATAACCTGATAACGAACTGCCAGCTGAGTAAAGTGGGACATACTTAGTAGGAGCAACTCTGCCCAGCAGGTTTCGCCGTTTCATCTGCCCTTTAGTTCGAGAAATTTCACTTTCTGCCTGGTTATCTCCACCTAGTGACCTAGTATTCCCACGGTCTTTGCTTTCAGCAGGGCTGCCGGCTGCTCAGCTTTAGCCACGTCCCTACGTGTGTGGGCCATATACTCTTCTTGCGCATGCGAACATGACGTTAATATCCAGCCCACCCCCCCCACCCCTACTTCGAAAGCAGCTGAAATACATGGCAGGCGCATTGTTTCGCACACGTCCCAGGAGTGCATGGAAATTCTCAAATGAAAATAGTGCATCGTTGCACAATGCATGTCAGCGTGTCCAGAAAACGTGTAACATACGCGGCAGGCGCAGTGTTTCGCGCACATCCGAAAGGTTCCGATTGCGAAGTGCGTTTCGACTGACAGGCGTGGTAAAAAGAAAGAAAAACTAAACTCGCAGGGCCCTGCTGTTTCTGGTGTGCAAACGCACGTCCTTACATGCACGCTGCCCGCGGAGCCTCAAACAAAGCATGCCATCTTCTGAAACAATTCAGGTCGTAGAATCCAGTTGTGAAGGGAACATGGACCACACTCTCATACGGCTCGCGGTACGGCTCGATTTCTGGCACGCGCGAACCCTTAGCACCATTTAGCACCTGCCTGTGCCTCGGTGATCCGCATGAAGGGCACGAAGAGCTGACAGAAAGAGCGAAGATCGAGGGGGTGATGCTTTTACACAGATACCTGATCTTAGTGGATGTCGATCAAAGTCTTCCAATGCTTGGAATAAAAAGCAAACTTCCAGTGCGAAATGAGCCCGCAAGAAGGGCCCTCAAAACAAAGGATGAAAGACATATGGGCCACAGGGGTGCACTCCAACGACAGGGACATTCCAGGATTCTGCACTCCGGAACAATGACAACTGTCTTCTTTTTTGCACAACGATGTGATTGATGCAAGATTAGATTGTACCAGCTTGTTCAGCACGGCATAGAATACATGACACATCCTGGCCCCCGTTCTGGGGCCCCTCAGTTGTTTTCATTTGAGTGTTCAATGAACAATCTTGGCCAGGAGCAACTTTCAACACATCTATCATCTATACAACAAACACAACAGCAGAGAAGGGCCGATGGTGAAGGGCAATCACTGCGGGGCATGTTCCACTTCGTTGCCGTTTGGACGACTGTCGTTTCAGAAAATCGATCTCATCGCGTGCTATGAACTTACTTGGAGAATCCCGTGCCAAACCAGGTGTGTCAAACACGCACCTGGATCAAACTCTTCACACGGTTCTTCAGAAGAGCTTTCAGCTTCGAACGCCCAGCCAGGACCTGTCGGAGAAGAACGTGACCAACCAGTGTTCCACATCAGCCGCTAGCAGCCGCTAGCATCTGTCTTGGGCCATTGGGCCAGCAAATGCCGTTGATGGCGAGTCTTTCTGAAGCTGCAGGCAAACTGGAGAAAATTAATAGGGCTAACAAATTGAAGCCTATCTTCTATCTTGTGAGGTAACCATTTCCCCAAACTCAAGTTTACTCATTCTCTGACTCTTGAAGAAGTCTCCGCTGTACTTTCCCGTAAGTTGCCTGGATCAGCTCCATGCACTGCGCCACGAAGGAAGCCATACCACCCTTTGGCCGCGCTCTGCGACTACTGTCCGTGTGTCCGCAAAGCGATGGCCGTCTAAAGAACACCTCTGGAGCGATGGCCTCCAACATAGTGTCTATTGACAAGTCCTCAAGTGGAAGGACTTTCGCTATTGCAAATTGAACCGACTTGTCTATCTCAATCACTTCCCGCACTCATTTCCGCTGTTCCTTTCACTAGATTATATGGATCAACAGTGGCCTTGTATGATGGCACTGGACTGCGTTTACACGGCCTCCTCTTCACTCTCGCCCTTGTCATCGCTTTGGATCACAACCTACGCACCAAATGACCAGGTTGCTGCTTGCCATTTCTACGTCCTTTTTGGTGGGTTGACCTGATCATTCTTCACTGACCTCCCGTCCGTGGTTCTAGGTTGATCGCTTCGTCTTACCCCATAGCTCAACACTCAGACTCAACAAACTTTATCATCTACAGTACCAGAATCACAGAGGAACCAGCATTTAATCACCCTGCCAGTTATATCTCCACCTGAAATAGCCGGCCTATCATTCATAGATTTTGGATGTGGCATTTTTGACACTACTGCCTAATCACTTCAGAGGTTCGATGAGCCTGATGGGCAAGTATCTTTCCGCCTCGTAGTCTGGCTGCAAATTCTGCACCAGAAGGCAAGCGGGTCTCAAAATCGCCTCTGCCACCAGCATTTGCACAAAGCACAAATTCCCAGCAAATCATGCATAACATCCAAATAGAATCCAGACTGCTTGATTCAAGAATCACATAAACAAGACTGTGTTTCCCCTAATCACCTGGTTAGGGCAAGAGCACTTTCCACTCCAAGATGGCGTTAACTTCGTTGTCATTTCTAGATGACCCAATACCCACCACTCGCTCCTCGATCTGGTCACCCATGGACTCCACCAATTCACGAAAGCGGCAAAGAGCGGTGACCTTAAACAGGGTTTAGTGTTGACCTCAAAAAACAAAGACAACAACCTGTCCAGTGAGGGGGACGCTTCCAGTTGAATTCTATTCAAGCCCCCTTGCATGGCAATGCTGTTCAACAAGGCGATCTCCCAAGGACTGAAAGCTCTCCGACCAATCGCAGCACTCGGCTGCCCATCACTCTCAGGATGGCTAAGGTTCCTGGCTGCCTGGAGCACAGCGAAGGTGTTCTTGATGCGCTCGGTTGGAGGCCAAGAGCTCTGTCCTGCAACCATCTGAAACATCGAGGAGCACGACACATCACTGTTTCCAGCGTCTGCTTTGACAAATGCCAACTCCTGCTCAAACTGTTCAGAGGAGACGGGGGAGACATCACTTTTTGCACGTGTTTGGACTGTTGAGCGGTTCAGCATGCTTGGACAATGACACAATTCCTCACCATTCGGTGAGAACTGAAAAGCTTCTCTTCGGGAAACTTCAATGAGACTTCTTCGAGATGTCCACAGGAAGCGCCGGGTGGAGGACTCGAAAGTTGAATAGCTTAAACACTTCCTTCATCCCGAGACACACCATCCACAAGATCCAGGCAGATCGGCCGAGATGGCCGACATTGCCCGGATGCGCATTCGCCATCTTGGAAGGCGGGGCAGAGCTGTCACAGAGTGGTCTTCGTCATAGTTCATACAAGGAAAAACGACGCGTGACAGGCGCAATGGCATGAACGCCACTTTGAGGAATGACTTATGGCCTGCGTGCAGCACCAACAGTTCTAAGATCGCTGAAGGTCCTTCCTGCTTGGCATGTACACCGGGTGTTTGAGAGATTCAAGACCTAGAACACCGTGGTGTTTGTCGGCTGCTGCAAGTCTGGTATCAAATCAGGTATCAAATCAGCATCCTCATCTTCTTCCATTTCTGGAACATCTGCCTGAATCGTCTCTTCCATTTTCTTTTTAGAGATGGTAGCCTTGCTGCAGTATGAGCACAGCCAGCCGCCAAGCAACCTCTCTCGAGCCTTTTCTTTTGCTTGCCGAATCTTCTCCTGGGCGGGTCAGTGGTGGTGCTGTCGACACTGTGCTGTCGAGGTCGAACTTTCGAGGAACATTCACTCCTGGCAGTCATGAATTTGGGGGTCATGCTGGCCTGTTTTGTACCTCTGCCTTCTTCCCTTACGATCTGCTTGTATCCATGTGATAGCCCGACATACACACACACACAAAGAGGTTTGTCTTTTCTTGCCCTTATGTCGCTCCTCATCACAGCGAATGATCCATAGTCGTGCTTGACACAGCGTTCACATGCGTTCACACACACCAGTAGTCTAGTTCCTTGATGTTCCTTCTTTGAGAGATCAGCATTGTCACACGCCACGCCTGGATCTTCTGTGCTGCCCGCTCTGCAGCGAGGCGTGCCACAGCTCGCGCCATCCCCTTGTGCCCCTTGTCGCCCGACGGCAACTTCGCTACAGCCTGAGCACACGGCTAGCGTGGGTCGTGCTTAGCCGAGCCATGACGTGAAGATCTTCTCGACCATGCGATCGGGCCATTCGCAAGGGGGGATCATGCTCGTGACCAGCGATCTTCTCATGTCTCATCACCGATCATCGTGACCAGTGAAATCGAAGCTGAGAGACGTTCTCTCAGCATATTCAGGTAGCCGTGACTTATGGTAGGATAGATGACACATGTCCACCTTCTATGAAAACAACTGCGGGTTCTATGTCCACTCATGACATGCTTTTTGCAGCTTGGAGACATTGTAAACCATACTGTCAGTCACGGCCCACACAAAGCCAATGGGACCACCTGCTCGCAGCCCAGTTTGAGCAGCTTGTCCAAGCAAACGCTAGTTGTTGCTCTCATGCAACTTGTGGCTTCCAACTTCTACTTTGCCTTCCAGATTCGGTACTTTTGGGTTTTCCATCATATGACAGACTGACTCCCTTGAAGGGAAAACGCTCGACACTTCAGCCACCTAGACGAAGCTTCAACAGTCGCAAACTTTCTTCATGACCTCAGCTAAGGAGTCTGGTCTGCCAGTGCCCTGTGCCTGAAGGACGAAGTAACAAACTATTTGTAGTTTGGGATGAATTCAAGTTAATCTAACAACACAACATTTGTGAGGAAGTTGGTCTTTGCAAGTGGCTCCAAGCAAATTCCAAAGACATGTTTCCCAGGTATATAAAGATAAACCTATGACTATACGTATTTATGTATAACGTATATTATATATTATATACACGGTATATATAATCACTAGGTCTAACTCTACAAAGCAGTGGGGGTGGAATATGCATTATTCTCTAGGTAGGGGGGCGCAGGTGGAAGACTTTTCGAACAGGGGGAGTTAACATACAGAAAATTGAACACGCATGTCTTTCTTCTTCTCTCGGTGAGACTCGAATTGTCTGCGTATGGAGGGGGGACACCGACCCATGCACATCATGCCAACAAGGACATCAGAACGTTCCAGAACATTTTCTAGCCTTTATCTTTTCTATCCTTTGTGACAGGCTCAATGGAGAAGCTGAACTGCATTGAGATGAAACAAGTGCCGGTCTGGACACAGTGCAGTTGTCTGAAATGCCACTGTGGGGATCATTCGAAGCAAAGTAATTAAACCATGTTTTACGCAAGTTATCCTTTGAGGGCGTACTCTTTTTTGGATTATAGTAGAAAAGTACTCCATGCGGTCTTCTGAAATGTTCTCGGGGTGGGTGTTTGGATCAAGATCAAGATCCATTTCTCTCGTTTCATGGGAATGCTTCCGCTCAAATTCAGCTTGGGATCCATCAGAACGCGCATAGTCGAGAACATTCTTTCCACGTGCATCTTTGACGTAGAGGGCCACGTAGCACCTGGAGCGAAGAACTCTTTCCTCATACTTTGCCCCTGGATTCCTGCCTTCAAGTCCCCGGTCTGGCTGAGTTCTATAAAGTGTACGAAGATGTACGAAAAACGCATGTCGCAACCTCAGAATACTCCCTACACCAGGTGTCACATGCCGTAAGTAACGACATGTAACGACATTTGTCTTATGAAAATCCCTGGGATTTGCACCACTGGATCTCGCCTGCTTCGGTTGATGGCACCCAGTGCCAAATCCAAGATCTGCAGCCGCCGCAGGCCCACGGCGTAGTGAACCTCAGTGCCACGACGAGTGCCACGACGAGTGCCACGACGAGTGCCACGGTCCTGAAGCTCCGCCGTTCCGAATTCTGGAGAAACAGAACATGGGAATTCGGAATACCTCAGATAGCGAGAATCCGCTCAGTTGTGCATTACTTCGGCACAACCTCCAAGTCTACCCGTCGACACCCTCAGGTCCCAGAAACACAGTTCGCGCCATTCAGGTCTTGCATGGATGGATCTGCAGCAGAGTCCAAGAGAAGTTTTGCACTTGAGACCTGTGCCAGATGACACGTTGTGCCGAAAAGCGGAACCAACACCGAAGTGCTTCATAGTTGAATATCATTGAACATCTTCCACAAACCAAATACTTTCTTATGTAGGTGGATCGTGGTTTAGGTGCAGCCCCATAAACCAACTGTTACTGTGGTGCATACATTCAATACCTTCATGGATTCTTTGGTTATGACATGTTATGACGCGTTCTTTTAACTTGTTGACTAAGATTTCCAAATGCCCTCAAATCTTTCCATGTTTGCAAGAGCCTTGTTGTTCACTGTGGCAGTGATCAATGCAGTGACACCCCTCTCGTTGAACATGTCCAAGGGCACTGATGCCTCTACACCTGCTTTGGATGCATGGGGCACTGGTGCAACATCCCAAGGCACTGATCCAAGCATTGGAACCACATGCTGAACCAACAATTCCAAGAGACACAAATTCTTACACATAAAAAACAATAATTCAGTTTTCGGAAGACATTGCTGCACTGGATGAGATCGGGAAAAGCACAACAACAACGGCAGTTGACGTGGAGAACAACCGGAAGTTTGATCAACTGAGCTGAAGCACAAAGTTTGATGAAATCATAGTCTCCATCGGCCCCTGCTTCGATCAACTGGCCGGGCAGCTGTTGGAAGGTCTTATTGTCCTGAAGCTGGAAGAGGCACGGTCTTATCACGGTGGAGACGGGGGGTTCCCCGAGCTGCATCATCTGTTCAAGGTGTCACAACTGCAGTGAACCTTCAACCTGCTGGGGTTCGGCATTTGTTTTGCCATGAATTGTGGTTCTTTTGAAAATACAAAATTGCGAACATATTTCGTTTTTGTTCGCGCAAGTTGACTTTGCATGCAATGCTTTTTTAGTTTCCCAAAAACCTGACCTGAGTGAAACTGCCTGAGGAGCAGGTTTCCAGGTTTGAGACATTGTCCTACGAACCTGCCAAAAGTGTGAAAAACCATGGGTTTCGCCGTGCAAAATGACTGACCATCATTTTGTACTGTAAAAACCAATACATTGTGAACATCATTGAAAAGGCACACCTTGATAGTCAGCCATTTTTGCTTGTTTTCGATGTGTTGATGTCTCTTCAGGAGATGTTTGGACTTGGATTTCTATGTTTTTCCACACCCAATCCTCCATGTCAAACTCCTTTTCTCACAACTTCCACAGAGGCTTCTGTTCTGGAAGCAAGCAGCTGGACTTACCAGCCCTTGCGACGCCTTTTGCTTCCAAGACACTCTCCAAGCCAGGCTTTTTGTTCAAGCGGCAACTTAACATGAAAGAAACATAACATCAAACGCGTATGCAAATGAACATCAACTTAACATTCCAGAAACATAACATCAAACCAGTTTCGTGCGCTAATACCCCCCCCACCCCCACCCCCCCGACCATCGAGCGACATCGAAAACTTGACATGAACCTCTCGGAGAACCCCCCGTCTGGAGGGTCTTATCAATCTCACACCCACGCGGAAAAGAACTGGATGGTGGTTTGAGGCAGACCTGAAACCAGCGCATGATTGAACATCATTGAGCTTCGCAAAAACCACGGCAAAGATGTGTGCACACGCACCAAGGTGTGAAGCTACCAAAGTTGCTTGGTATCAACTAAGTAAACATCAAAAAGTGATCTCCACATCCGAACATGAGCACAGCTATACACAAGGCGGTCGCGATCGTGGGGACCGGATGCTGCACTTGGAATCTGCACAACAGGGTGCCGGGTGGATTGCTGCAAGAAGCCCTGCACAAACGTGTGAACCGAAAAGTGTGAACGGGAAGAAACGTTCGATCCCAAACTTTCTCGTCGAGTCTCAATCTTGGCCAAACGTTCTTGACGACGCTGCA